CTCCAACGGGGAAAGCAGATTGAGTAATGCTATTCATCCCCACTGGGGATGAAAACACAGTCTAGGTGGCGCTAATGTGGCATTAAATGATAGGTGAAATTAAATAAGTCATTTAATTTCACATTTCATTTCACCTATCATTTACAGCCACATAGATTGTATTTTCACCATTCATTTTAATTTCATCCATCCACGTAGGCTAACAATTATATGACTATGGAAATCCTACGTGGCCACCAACGGTGTTAAAAATTTACAGAAGGACAAAACTCATTTCAAAAATAACGTTTCCTTAATAAAATTGAAGAAACCTTCTTTTGATTTCTCTAGCAAATGTTTGATTTCCACCCAATGTTCTCTCTGCAAAACTATTTGAATTTTTTCCCAATCTTCACTATGTCCATATTCTTCCCCCAAATCATTTTTCAATGCCAAATCAAGAAAACTCTTGTCTCCTCGCAAACCTCGTTATGGAAAATTCTTCATCAAAACCTGAAATTTCGAACAAATTTTGTGTCACTATGGTCAGAGAGTTGTCACAAAGAGTTCATGGACGGAGAACAATCCGAAAAGACAATTTTGGGGAAGTAGATAGTGTGGACGGCCATATACTTACATCTATTTTTCTTGGGTCAACCCACATGTTCATCCAAGTGAGCCAACTAGGTTGAGGAGTTGAGTCGAGTCGAGTTCAATTGTAGGGGAGTTGAGCGATTCAGCTCGTCTTATTTAATATCCCTGTTCGAGAAAAATCAATGGGGTGGAGAAAATGATTGATTGATTTTCACATTTTAGTTAACCCATGTTTTGTGTAGATTAAAATTAAGCCCTTATTTTGGCTCCATTAAAAATGCATTTTGAAGAAAAATGTGTTTGGAATACTGATTTTTTAAACAATGTAGGGTTTAAAATAAATTGAATTTATACACGTAATATTATTTTATTGAAAAATGTGTAGTTGAAACTAAAAAAAGAGAAAAATTCATTTTGACAAAAATGAAGATTTCAGGTCAAAGTTAACAACTAAGTTTAATCATATATTTTATAAAATCCATAATTTTTAAACCACATATCTTATTATCATTTTATCAAAATTTATTAAAAAATAATCTACGTAATTGAAGTTTACTGAGGTCAGACGAATTATGAATGGAGAATATTATCAATAGTACGGAGGCACGAGCTTCACGAGAACTGGTAAAATAATGGTTAAGCCTCCAATTTTTCTCTCTCTCTATTTTTGCCAATTTTCAAATTAAAAACGTGTTCTAGAAATAGGCGGTCTGCTCTCTTTAATGCCCCACACCGAGTCGCTTTCCAGAAAGTAAGTTTAACAATGACTTCACTCCCTACAATGCTAAGGTCGACATCTCAATATTCGGATATTTAAAAGCATTTATTCGATAAGAGAATGATGAATATTTTATCCAGCAGAATTAGAAAAGCAAATACCAATTGAATCTATGTTCTTCTTGAATTACCTTACATTCTGCTCATTTGTGAAGAATAATTTTGTTACGGATCGTAGAATGAAGGCTCCACGTGGCATCGCATTGGGCAGGTGGGA